TGTTCATGAGCAACACTAATTAGTTTAACCAAGGCATATACTTAATGATTTGTCTCCAGGCTACTTAACAATATCATAAAATACTAGGGCCGTTGTTTATAAAAAAACTGGTGTTTTTTCTGGTTTTTTGTGTTAACTAGAGTTTATTTGAAAAAAGTTAGTATGGTTAGTTGTTAAAGAGATTTTAAGAATGTATTAAGATTTATTTTAAATAAAATGATTAAAACTGATTTGATGTAAAAGTAGGAGATAAATGATTGGAAATGATAAGTAGTTAAAATTATGTGAGTGGAAGAATAATGAATTAAAGTTGATGTGAAGTGTAAGAATGATTGAATGATATTATTTCATTATATTGATAATATTGAGGATAGTCGGGTAGAGTTAAAAGTTGAGTTAGATTTTGAATAGAGATAGGTTTTTTTTCTAGTTTTTTTTCTAGAAATTTGATAAACAAGCAAAGCCTAGGTATACTTGTTTTCATCACTACTCATATTAGTTTTAGCACACATGGCTCTTAGCTTGAAACAACTATCTTTTTCTTTTAGCCATTGTTTCTTCTACCATAATTATATTTTCTAGTTTGGGGACTTGTCCAATTATAATTGAAATGTAATTTGGCTAATTGCTTCATGCATCTCAAACAAACCTCTTTGAGCTGTAGCTGAATGTAAGTTATCATGCAGATAATCATCGTGTGCAGGTCTTGACACGATCTAGATCAAAAGCGATGTCAATTTTTCCGGGTAAGAAGGTAATGAAGGCTATAATAGAGTTTCATTCATGACATGTAACTTTTCTTCCCATTGTTATTCCTTTCAAGAAATGATATATAATTTGTTAAAGTTGGAGAATTGGTTTTGAAAGCTCATTATCAAGCTAAGCCTAAATGTCTCATCTTTGGGCCTGTGATTGAGAAATTCAAATAATAAAAAACAATCATAATGACGTTAATTCAGCATTATTCTTTGATTTAAAAGAGAAGAAAGAAGTGTGATAGTGTACTTTTTATTTGGCATTAGCCAAGTTCATATCTTTAACGAGAGTTTTTATTCCTAAGTGTAGTTAGGGAGTACCCTGGTATTGTAATAGCAGAGGAGGCAGATTGGAAAAATTGCATTCAAGGATCAACGGCTGTAGTGAATCTGGCTGGATTGCCGATAAGCACGAGATGGTCTCCTGAGGTACATAATTGATCTGATAATAGTATACAATCTATCAGCTTTTTATGTGGATATCTGAAGAAAATCAACTTTTTTTTTTTTTTTTTTTTTTTTTTTTTTTTTTTTTTT